TGCACCACTATTCTTGACTCGGTTTCCCCCAAATATGCTACAACAATATAAGAATAATTCATGATACTTACGCCTAGGCATATCAATATCGGTATTATCACTAAGCATCGATTTTCCTAAAGGTGACATTGCAAATGATTCCATATTGTCCTCTTTAAACTGTTCTACAATTGAACTGAGCTTCAAGGATGCGTTGGATCGCGCTGGCGAGCAAACGCTGCGAGATCCTCGAGGTTTGTGTTGTTTAGGCGTTCCTGGCGCGCCCTGGGATCGGGCTGGAGACGGAATTCTCGACATGTTGTATTTTTACTCCTGTAATTTCAAAATATCACATCACTGTCGTATTTACACTATAAAAAACAAAGTAACTGAAAAAATCATTTCGGTACCTTGACGAATGCGGAGTTAAAAGTAAAGTATTTAATTACTTTTATAAATTCTTTATAGATCCTGAGAAGCACTGCGCATCGCACATGTTACATTTGGTAATTAAATTACAGATTAAATAGAATCAAAGACTTCAACCACAAATCTTTCTAATTTGTGGCACAAATCAAACCCGAACCGTTGACTGTCAACAAACTTTTAAAAGTTACTACGTTCCGTTTCACGTTTTTTGTTAGCGAGTCTGTGATTGATTCGGTTTGAGTGCATTATCTTGACATTACAGACAGACAGATCACCTACGTATATTCAAGGTACTAAACAAATACTTTATTTATTATCTAATAAATATACAAAGAAACATAATACCTAGTTAAGATATTTAAAATATACAAAATGTGGACTTTTTCGTCAATTGGATCGTATCCCGTAATAGTGATGTGTATATGTTGTTAGATATTCATAATTGTGGTTCTTTATAAGTAACCGATATTAGTAGCTAAAAATAGTGATTATTTTGCGATTTGTTATAAATAAAATCTTTCGGTATATGAAAATAAAGAAAAAATAATAAAATCGGAAGGACACAAAGAAAAAGTGCGCGAAAGTGTTTAAGCGAGAAAATGGTTAACTAGAAAAAATGTTTACAAAATGAGGACAACGTCGAGGGAAATGACTAGTACTAAATGCTTACGATTTTAGATTGTAATTTATCGTTTATCATCACGTGACGCAAACATAATGATCACTGTTGAATGAGTTATTTTATACAGTGCAAATAGCGCAGTCTAAATGGGATATAACAATACAAATATGTAACTTCGTAGTTACGTTTATTTACTTGGTGATGTGGAAGTAAAACAAAATCAGAAGTATAGTATTAGATAGAGCTGCAGTCGTCGTACCGGGCTTGTGTAATATTTTGAATGTTTTTTTTTTATGAATCACCATAAAATATACTTTACATATATTTATTTACTTGTGAGATGAATAAAAGATAGTTTATTGCCAAATGAAGACACTGTATAATAACTTAAACATAATGGGTTAAAGTTAAATGGACTAACTGTAGAACAGGGTAAAGAGCATGTCAAACTTGACACTTAGAATTTAAATCCAACTCCATGCCGCTTACGGTCGCTTAGGTCCAAAGGACTTAAGGTCCAAAGTCCATAGTGTCAAGATATACTCTTAACAGGACATCCACAGTGACGATTATACTTGCATACTGTTACGATTTACAAGAAAATTACGTTGTAAAAAATTACTGGGCTATTTTTTGTTAACCCAAAACTTCTTGACGTGGTAATTTGATAGCTAAAACAACTAACTTTTGTTCTGCCACTTTTGGAATTTCACCATATTTTATAACTTGAAACAATTTTTAATGGGTCAAAAAATATTATATTTTATTTATTAAGTTGAATCTGGCAATTATGAGCCATACTGCATATATCTTAGGGACTATATTTAATACGAAAAAAATTATAAACGAGTTTATGAAAGTCATGGGTTTAAATAGTAAGAATGCCGTGTTAAGAGATTTTGGTACCTTTTGGTACATTTACCTACGTAAATGAGAATAATTGCTACTATCATATCATATGTAATAAAACTTAGTAATAAAAACTTGGAAAAGTTTAATTTACGGTATCGCTATGAAATTTTAAATTTTCCCCCATTAAGCAAATAAAGTGTCAACAATGTTTACACTCTCATACCTACCGGCGTCACAATTGTAACTTTCACAGTTTCAGTGCCTGCTAACACAGATCTACAATCTTGCAATTGTGTTATTGCAGTTTTGATTAATCTATTCCTGCATGGTATTAATAGAATGTAATAATAGTAACGAATTTGTAGAAGTCATAAAACCAAAGAAATGTGATACACAAATATACGTATCTATATGAAGCTGGTGGGTAGGTACCTAAAGCATATACTGTGTGTCGACGTCACTTCAATTAGGTCTTTATGTCTGCAAAACGCCAAACGAAATTATTGTTATAAAACGACCTTATCCTTAGTAAGCAACCCAGACCGATAAGATAATGTTATTATTAAACTGTTGACTTCTGTCAACTCGCAATTATTTCTTTGAGTAGCCTCTGAACAGAATTTTCCTATTAAATAATTATATCTATAACCTACGTAGATATAAAAAATATTTTAAGGATTTCACTTTACAAATAATAAAGGACGTAATGTTGTAAGTTCGTTGAACTCTATTTGTATGTAAGCTGATTGTGTTATAAAGCGTAAAGCAATTACATGATTCAATTGTTATATTCCAGATATATCTACTTATAATAAATTAAATAAGAAATTTAAAACTATAAAATCATTTCTCTATTTTTGGGGTACAGCACTAGTGATAATTTTGAATTTAATAGAAACGTCTGGCAATAGAGACGTCGTTTTGAAGACCTCAGTTCGAATCCGGCCGGATCAAAGGATTTTTTTCTGAGTGTTCGACCTTTGTATTAATAATTTTAATAGAAACATTGCAACGAAGAGTATAGTTGTTATTTTTCCTTCTATTTTTTTCCATTAGAATAAACCACGATGGATCGTGGTTCCAAACGCATCTATGTCCTGAGTGCAAACTTGAAATCTATGGCTCGTATTCTAGAACTCTACTCAATGCTCAAGTCAGGATTTGAGTATGGTTTAAAGCATTCGAAATCATACTCAAGTCCCTGCCATTAGGGTCGTATTTCCAGTGCTTGTGTTTCAATTGCAATCCTGACTTGAGCATTGAGTAGAGTTCTGGAATACGACCCAGACGGGTCGTATTCTAGAACTCTACTCAATGCTCAAGTCAGGATTTGAGCATGGTTTAAAGCACTCGATATCATACGCAAGTCCCTGCCATTAGGGTCGTATTTCCAATGCTTGTGTTACCAGTGCAATCCTGACTTGAGCATTGAGTAGAGTTCTAGAATACGACTCTAAGGGTCGTATTCTAGAACTCTACTCAATGCTCAAGTCAGGATTTGAGTATGGTTTAAAGCACTCGAAATCATACTCAAGTCCCTGGCATTAGAGTCGTATTTCCAGTGCTTGTGTTTCCAGTGCAATGCTGACTTGAGCATTGAGTAGAGTTCTAGAATACGACCCTAAGACTGTAATGGCGCCTGAGACGCCTCAAAAATACCAAAAATCCCATGGACTGCATTGATACGCGGTAAACTAAGAATAAAAACATAAAAACACATTCAATTTGCTTCATCATACCACATACAAAAAACACAAAAGACAAAGAACGATGTCAAATTTATAACACCTTTAATTTTTCATCAGCAATTAAAAAAAAATTATTTTAATTTTATTACTATCTCACCTCTTCTACTTAATGTTCGCCTTTTCTTTTTAAGAACACAAAATGTATCTAAATATTGACAATTTTAAAAGTACCTTGTATGTAACAATAAATCTTAACTCATTCGAAAAAATAACTAATAGCGGAATTAGATGTTAGTATTTTACCGGAATTTTGTTTGCTTCACCATGATTTAGTTGTGGTGATTGTTTAATACACTGTGAAGTGATAGGGTTGTTTGCCGAGTCAATATACGCTTCAGGTGGTTATAAAATAGCAATAGCGCTCCATCTTATCATTCTTGTCCGTGTTCACGTGTGGCGTACTCAGTGTTACAATGGCAAAACTAATTGAAAAGAAATGTGATTTGGATCTAGACCCTCCGGTATACAATGCTTTGGTTCATATACACAATTTAAGTAATTTTATATAGCATTTATCCTTATAAAATGTTACTCAGTATAACAAAAGTGTTTGATATTTGGGATATACGATAAAAAATTCCCAAGTTTTACCTAAGTTTTAATTATTTCTAGGTCAAGGATCGGTTTCCAAGAATAGTTATAATCATAATTCTCGCAGAATTCTGTGAACGTTTTTCTTATTCTGGAATGCGCGGTAAGTAACATTTATTTTTAAATAATAGTAAGTGTTTTTCTTGAATTAAGTTTCTCTCTTTTTTATGGTCTTTTCAATGGGGAAGAATTCTCGAAATTCTCATGCATACCTATGGATCAAATATTTTCTTGTTGTATCTAACAAACTACTTACGGAACCAGCCATTTGCTTATGTGATGTTTTGACAGCTTATGGGATGGCTTCTTCTCCTGTTCCTCATAAAACAATTCTATCTTTCAGCTTTCCTTACACTATACCTTAGGAGTAAATTAGGATTTTCAGACGATATTTCCACAGAAATATACCACATATTTAATATATGTGTATATATTTTCCCAATTATTGGTGGTATTTTGGCGGACAACTACCTCGGTAAATATAGGTAAGATAAAAATATGTCTGTATATTAGCGCGAGAGGCTTAGCATTTTGAATATAATGAACTGAATAATTCCAGAACTATCCTCTACATGATGTTTGTGTATGCAGCAGGAAATGTATTAGTCGCCATTACAGCTATACCATATTTAGAATTACCTAGTCGGTAAGTATCCAATATTATCTACATTATAAAATATACAATAATATATCATTCGTACCTTCAAAAACAACGTGACGTAATTCATAAAGTAATTTTTACTAAATACAAAAAAAAACTTACAAAATAGATTTAAGAAAAAAGAACCACGGCACTAACTATGTGTTGGCACAAAATAATACGACAAAGTTGTATTAGATATGAAAAACAATACAATTATCATTTAGCACACCATGTTTCGGTACTTAATTACAGAGGGTGCTTTATTAGTTGATAATATGAAAGTTGCAGTAACGGTCTACAGTCTTATTAAATTACGATTTCCCAATTACACCCGGTCTTTTTTTAAATTTAACGGTCACTCAATAGGAAACATTATTCAGCCAATTTTGTGAATTATGCCTTATTTCCAGTTTATGCACCATCATTGCATTGTTCATGATCACATTTGGTGCCGGAGGCATCAAACCCTGCGTAACTGCATTTGGCGGGGATCAATTCAAGCTCCCTGAACAAGAGAGGCACCTCGCTATCTATTTTAGCGTCTTATACTTCGTGCTGTGCACTGGAAGCTTGATTGCAAAAACTGTTTCACCTATATTGAGATCTGAGGTGCATTGTTTCGGTGATAAGGATTGTTATTCGTTAGCTTTTGGTGCGCCGGGACTTATTGTTCTTCTGGCTATAGGTAAACAGTATTTTCTTATAACGAGTCGAACAAAATAGGTCACTATTTAAGCAGGATGATATTTTTTAATGACAAGATGTTTTAGTTAGCGATTTTACCACCTCATTCAATTGATCATTTACTATGGGAATCGCTCCTCCAATGTTCATTTACATTTACACCTATTTATTATAAGTGGTTTGTATTGATACGTAGAATCACTCCCTAACGTATGGTGAAAAAAATGCGACCCTGTAGGTATAGGTTAAAGTTTAAGTAACAGTTTATTTTATTATCTTAGGTTTTTGCAAATAGTTACACACAGGAAATGAAATTATTTATAAAATACGCAATTAAGAGCGGAAGATAATATAGTTTAATTTCATATTTAAAATTCGTGTTACAGCACGTGTACCCCATCTAGCGTGCCATAAGCGTATTCACAAACATCCGACCCGATATCGGAGGACCACCCATCCCTACCCTAGTACCATAGCTTTTAGTTTTTACAATGAAGATGGCGTTTCTCGCCACCGACCTTGTTTTGCCAAATATAAACTTTTTTATAACCAAAAACGTGGTCAGGATTAAATGACTTTCAGTAACTCCGATATACATAAAGTATAACTGAAACCCATAAAATTATTTAGCGGAATGCTTGATACTGGCGGAATCCTAAAAGGGCACCGCCAATAAGTAAAAAGACTCATCCCCGCGTGGCCCATTAATATTCTAGAGTCTCGTAAATAGTTTTCATACGTGCGCGTCTTTCGCCTGAATTTCCTGTTTAAAGTTTTTACTTTATGTCGTAGTTTCTGTGAAATTTATCTGCCCCGTTTTAGCAATAAACGTAATCAAATCGGTATGTCGTAACTCAGTATTATGGAATTGAGAAAACACAATTTGAAAACGTGAAAACATCATTGAAATGAAAACAATAAATTTATAACCTCGTTTATAAATGAATATATGTAAGTATTATGTACCTATACATAAAAGTAATTACATTATTCGCAATAAGATGCATTCAGTATTTTTTTAAACTTTCAAATCGTGTTTACTCAATTCCATCATTTTTAAGTTACGACAGCATGTGATTTCGTGTGTTTCATGTGACTGATTTATTTTGTTTAGCTTTGTTAAACTTTGAAACAACTTTTCCATTCCTCCAACGAACACTGAGCCAACTTAGTTATTGGACCTGTTCTGTTTTTAGTTTGTTTTTTGTTTCTTAATTTTCATCGTACCTAACCAGAAATAGAGATGAAATAAGCGCCATCCATCGCTGGCAACTCATCAGGAAAATGGGCCTTATAGCACTTTAAGATATCAACTCTCATTTGCGCTGAAATCACAAATTAGAAAGCTGAAATACTACAGCACCAACAACTGACCTGTGTCTTCGCATATTCTAAAAATATTCTATCTTTATTGTAATAAAAATAAATATCTCCATCTATTCTGTGGTGTGGGAAAAACAGCAAAACATCTAATAAAATAGAAACTTAAACATAATTATTAATACAAAGATCGAACACTCAGAAAAAATTCCTTCGATCCCGCCGGATTCGAACCCACGTCTTCTAGCATACCGTGCCAGACGCTATACCAACTAAGCCACGGAACGAACCAGCGGACCTCACGAATTTTTCTATGTGCTTGTTGTCGTGTCTTTGTATTTGGGTTTTCAACGACTTTTTAGTCGTAGCGCCATCTATGAGAAATCTATGAAAGTTTTATCACCCAGTTACCTTTACACCAGATACCTTTACAGCCACCAGACCTGGCAAGAGATGTCGCTATTCACTGCATTTTAAATTTTTATTGAATAGATATTTAAATATTTTTTGTGAAATTACTCCACTAGTTTGTTATAATTATTAATACAAAGATCGAACACTCAGAAAAAATTCGTTCGTTCGTTCGTCTGGCACGGTAGAAGACGTCGGTTCGAATCCGGCCGGATCGAAGAATTTTTTCTGAGTGTTTCGTCTTTGTATTAATAATTATAACAAACTAGTGGAGTAATTTCACAAAAAAATAATAGAGAGGAAAACTGGTTATATACTCGATGTTCATTTTACAACAAAATTCGGGGAGCATAATATTAGTAAATAAATATGCTGTTTACAAGAATAACGGAAAATAACCAAAAAATAAACTTGGCGTAGTGTTTATAGGAGGTATTGTTTTAATCTGTATTATTTGACTTTATTAATAGATAAAGAATCTATAACTTAGAGCCTAGCTGAAATGTTTTTATTTATTCTATGATAAATATAAAACTATCTAAGCAAGCAAGATTTGAAATAAATGCTTTATTTTATTTTCAGTAATATTTGTGAGCGCAAGGAGTAACTATGTGCTCAAGAAACCCGAAGGGAATGTCTTAATTGATTTCGTCAAATGCGTTTCGGTAAGTAAAAACACGGAAACAGCGTTTCATATATCAGAATAAAATTAGAAAAGATAATTTTTCCAATTTATTTTTAAATCCCGCACTATGTAAACCTTGTATCGCGGGTGCCATGAACACATATATAGACAACTACAACTTACATAGAAACTTACGAGATAAATAAATGTAGGCCATACAAATGTTTCTCCCGGCTGGCGGCCCTGGAATCGAACCCGGGTGCTCTCTACGTGGCAAACCGCAGCAAGGTAACCGTTAGGCCACGGACACGGGAGGAATTGATAAAACAGTCTATTGCAAATTGTGGTCGGCACGACGAGTACCAGAAAGAGTCACACGGCCGAATTTGAAGAATGAAATCATGGCGAGTATAAATTTATGAATTTTTCACTTGCTTTCAAATAAAATTCGAAAGATAGTTCTAAAAATATTATATTGCCATAAGTCCCCAACGAAAATTGAATTTTAGCTTATGCAGCCGGAATCCGGCTAGTTAAATTAAAAAGCTCCCGATGTACGAGTTTAATATCCACAAAACCTTAACTGCAATTCTAACTGCGAAGTTTTATAGAGCTCGATGTTCTTTTTTTACGTTTGAAAATTAACGCAATTGGAATGAAAATTTCGCAATATACTTTTTAAAAGTGCAATTTTAGAGTGATTAGACACTTTCAAAGAATTTTAATTCATACTTACCTTTCTTCTCTTCGTTAATCCATAAAACTTTGAGATTTTTTTTGGTAATGACTTGAGTTGACGACCTCTGTGGCTCAGATGAAGAGGTCCCGAGTTCGTTTCTCGGTAGTGCTAATTACTAAACCTACGTGGCCTTAGTCTACATATTATGTAAAATACCTTACGTAACGCAGATGGCTTTCTTAATAAATAAACAAAAGATAAAAAAGTAAATAGTTACACGACTTTTCCGGTACCTATTACCATTTTTCGAATGCAGACCATTCTTCGAATTCCACAATTTGCAATAGATCGTTTTACTACGTTAGGCGAATTGCCTCCGTGGCCTAACGGTTATCATGCCGGTCTGCCACATAGGGGTGCCGGGTTCGATTCTCGGGCCGGGAGAAATATTTGTATGGTACATTTATTTATCTCGTGAGTTTGGGTGTAATTTGTGGTTGTCCATGGCACCCGCGATACAGACTTTCTCTAGTGCGGGGCTTATGAGTGTGTAAAAAAAATCGAGTTTTTAAGTTTTTGCGTTTAAACATTAGAAATAAAACTACCATGGGACCCGTCAAGATACTGAAATTTATTTTGAAAAAAAAAAAAAACAAATGAATACACGAAAATATTTTTTTTAATGATACCAAGTTTCATTTCCACTGTTATGTAAATATGTTCAGTAGAAACGTATAAGTAGCATCTTTAGTCAAATACTTTAACATTTTATCTGCATTGATTTGTTCTGCTCAAACAGATACTGTTGTTTGCTTTCATGTACTGAACATGCTTGAAAAGCATGCCACGTAATAAATCAGAAAATTATACATATAATTTTTAACACTCACAATCAAAATAAATTTTGTGACAAAATATAACAAGTAGGTATTAATTGTGGGTCTTATTTCTATTTACATAAAGTTTTCGGACTTGTGCCATTCACAAACTCATTATGTTGCCAAAGTTCGCAATAAGTTATACAGTTTCCAACATCAGCTGAACTTTCCCAACTTGAAATTGAATTTGACTTTTTTGATTCGGCATCTTGTGGTAATTTATAAAGTTCAAAGCAATTACGTAAACTTAGTTTTTATGTGTACACATAAAATATGCCCTTTTTTAATACTGAAAAAAAACTGTAGTGGAAAGACAATAGAAATATAACATAACAAGATACAGAGATATAACTTACCTATTTCTGTTGCCAAGCAGCAAAATAAGCATTACTGTGTTCCAATTTTGAAGGGTGCTAGTGAAATTACAGGCGTGTGGGACTTATCAACTTATGTCTCAGAGTGCCCCTCAGAACTTTAGGATTGAAAACTCTGAGTGACACCGCAACTGCTACGGACAGGCGTGTCGCTCACAACCAGTTACTTGGTATCATAAAAAATAACGAGATTACTACTAACATGATAATAGAAAACCAAAAATGTTTGAACATTTAATACTATACAAAAGTTTTCTTATAAGCATTATAAAAGGGAATATTGAACAACAGAAACGCAGGGGAAGACCATATAGAGGAAAAAGCTGATGTGGTGTCGTATCAGGAACTCAAAGAACTAATTACATAAGAAGTAAGGCCTTGAAAGATTTTAAGTAAGAAGAATGTAAGACAATTGGAGTTGCTAGGTTTTCGAGACTGCGATACCTATATTTCGTTTAAGGTGCTATTGAATATGGATATTTATGAAACAAATATTTGAATTGAATAGGAATCGTTCTATCGTAAACGCCATTCAGGGTTAGGCAGGGCTCAATAAATTTTAATTTTAAATTTTCAACTAATAAAAAAGGAGAGTATTGTCTTTTTTACGGTGTTGAAATTCAAATAGAGAGACAGAACGTTAGTAGACCAAGTTAAACTATTAAAGACAGATAGAGGGAGCCAACGGATGCAAGCATTCCAAATTTTTGTTTTATGTTTTTTACAGCTAGGACTAAAAAACCGTCTCCTAAAGAGGACTCAAAACGAGAAGCAATCTCACTGGTTGGATAGCACAAAAAGTCACTTTGACCAGCGTTTCATAAATGATATTAAAAGGACTCTATCCATTTTGACACTTTTTGCTGTTGTGCCTGTGTTTTGGGCGTTGCTGGACCAAATGGTGAGTATGGTTGGATGAGAAAAATGTGAAATAACTTTGAAACGTTCAAAATAACTTATTCAATCTAGAACAAACTAGGCTTCACAGAGAATTTAATTTATTATAATCGTATAAATATGGTCACGTGGGGTATGAGGAACACCTTAAGACGAGCGACTTGAACTTTAACTCATAATCTAAAGAGTTTAGCATTATAGTCTCAAGGTCTATGTGTGAATAATTTATGTACCTCCTGAAAATTATCATATCGCAGATGTGACGTTTTTACACCAAGGGATCGAAATACTCTTACAACAGTGTAACACCCATACCCGGGATCTAATTAAAATAAATAATAGATCCGGTGTAGGTTACGTACGTACCTAAAATTATATACTAACTAATATTTGGCCGTTTTTAAAATATACGGGATTGTCTAGTTATGATGAATTAAGACTGGACCCTCTAGGTTGTGCAAATTTTTATACCGTAAATATAAGAGTTTAAAAACACGTCAACGAAATCATACAAGCACCGAATATAGTAAATGTGAATAATTTAAAACTTAAAATTTATGTTCACACAATTAGTCAAATACAGAAATGTGAGCAACACACCGATGTAAATTAATTTTCAAAGAGGACCGCATCTGCGTCCGCCATCTTGAATGTTTGACAACCAACTAAATGATGTGCAGCGTCTTCACCGCACATCAGTGAAACATGAGCGTGTATATGGAACGCCGCATCTAGTACGCTAGTACATAGATTTCGTTGTTAAATGGCTATATTTTTCCCAGGGCTCGCGGTGGACTCTCCAGGCGGCGAGAATGGACGGTCGGTTGGGATTTATAACGATCAAACCAGATCAGTTGCAAGTTATCGCACCCATTGCCATTCTCGTCTGTATACCAGTTTTCACCAAGGTAACAATTTATTGTACTTTAATAAATTGTACATCAAAATTTTTTTGTGAGCACGGAGGTGCGACTGGCACGGCACTTCTCCGTAGACAAGTAGTGCAGCACAGCTAGGAGCGTACGGTTGTCAAACTATTCTTATTTTACTTGTACGTATAGGCTGTAAACACAGAGAAAAAATTAAGGTAGGTAAGGAAATAATTAATTTCAAAGATGGGATGTCAAAATGTACTTACATATCGATACATTTATACCAGAATCTTGGATTGGTATCTCGATTGTGGTGGTATGATTGTGAAATGTGAAAGAAATGCTGAAGAATTCCAAATTAGAAGTACTCTTTGTTGACCATAACGACTTTGATGTATACAACCATTAAATTAAAAAATAAACACGTTTACTAATTTGATATAATTGTTAGACACCGAGTGAACGCTTTAATTCTATAATCATTAGACCAGGGTTTCTTAACCTGTGGTTCATGGATCCCTAAGGGGTCCGTGTACTGAACATCGAGAGTCCATGGCGGGTCTTCCTAACATAATGGAACAGCAACCGTCACACTATTTATGTATGTAAGTAAGTAAAGTTTAATCGCAAACAATATAAGCTAGTAAAAGCTAAACCTAGATTTTTTATCTTGTCGGAAAGGTTGCGTGGCTTCTTTGACAGGGGACACTTTTAAGAGGGGTCCATGACTAGAAAAAGGTTAAGAAACCCTGACTTGACTGTGATATAATAATCGCGCGTGTGATCACCCGCGCTGTGCAATTCAGTGCACCGCGAGATTATGCAAATGTGTGCGTCGGTACAGTGTGCAGCGCGTATGCGCGCACTTTACAAACCACGCTGCTACACGTTTGTGTTGAGTTACACTACTTATCTTATTACTATACTACGACTTCTCCATGTACTTTGGTAATTCCTCCTTGTAATTAATAATTATGTTTACATAAGTAATATGGGAAATACATGTAGAAAATTTTCAATATTAGGAACTCCTTAAAATTTTGAATGTAATGCATAGAATGTAACCATTACGATGCTATATCTGTCGCGTTTACTATATACCTCGTTCGGGTGCGGGACGATCTCTTCTGCCTCTACGAGGGTCGATATATTGATGTCTACCATGAAATTCTTATAATAATAAATTACATACCAAAAACTATTCGCAATGGATATTATACTCAGTTTCTTCGAAAATACCGTGACGTTTTCATCACGAGAATCGGGCCCCTGATAAGGAGAGAAATTAATGTGATATTAAAATTCAACAGTGAAGTAACCTGTGCTTCTCCGTTTTTGCAAAAGATCGACTTAAATACCAATTTAAGTGCTGGTGACCAAATCGTTCTCTTTCATGTAAAGCAATCTATCTAAATAAGTATTATGTAATAGTCATACACTTTATTGTGCATCAATTAGATAAAGGGAACTTTAAAATCCACGCACTTTTATAACGGTCCAGAACTTGACAATTAAAAATGTATCCAAATATCGTTCTTGTCGCTCTCATTCTTGTCTACTTTTAAGTCAAATTGTTACTTCTGCCGTCTGCTAACTAAAACGCTAAGTAAGGCTAAGTGACAAAATAATGTTTGAGATATATCTTAAAAAACCATAACCCAGTTTTACAATATTGAAATTGTTGATGAATGATGATGATGAATGATTGTTGAAAGATGATCAATATTTCAGCTATGCATCGTTAGGGTAAGTTCCGATAAGTCGAACACATTAACTAATTTTGACTGTTTTTAAAAGAAAATTTTGTGCACTATTTTGTGTACTATTTTAAAACGGATATTTTTGGACGACAATGGACGACAGACTTTAAGCCAAATATTTGCTTTAAATATAACATTTAGATGTTGACAATGGTGGTGATGATGACGATGAATGTGGTCATAGTGACTATGTTGATGATGGTGATATATTGATGTATAGTCAAGAGCACGTCAAGCTTGCAACTTTGCACTTTAATCCGTGCATATAGTAAGCGGCATAGAGTTGGATTTAAATCTTAGGTGTCAAGTTTGACGTGTTCGTGACCTTGTACAATAAAGTTTATATGACATTAACAAAATACTTATTTAGATTTATTTATTTATTATTATATATAGATAGATAGATGACGTATGTGAAGAATTTTGGTACAAGAAGTGATAGTAAAATATTTGTTACATGTTGAATGTTTTTAAATGTTCTTTTGTGAACGATAAAATGTGTGTTGTAATAATAATTTCTCATTACTTGTGCCGTCTTTCTCATTTATGTTTACGAGAAAATCATTCGTGTCATTCGTGCGATTTAAAATATCGTTTTCCGTTGAATTTCACTTATTTTTTTTTGTTTTATTAATTATTCACATCACATGACAAAACCAAAAGAAAACAGAGTTTTACAAAAATCACTCAAAAACTGTCATTAAAATTCGGAAAGTGAAATTCACCCTTTCGTTAGATGGCGCTACTATACCCGTAGTAGCAAGTTGGGAGGTTTCTTGCGCTAAAATAGAAATTTTCTACGTGAATTATAGTAATTAAACAAAGTTCAACACCGTTAACGCTCATTCTTAGCCATGTTACTTAACTACCTACTCAAATAAGTATTTGTATAGCATTTGCTACTAAAAGTCGCTGTGTGGAACCGCTCTAAGGGTCGTACTCCAGAACTCTACTCAATGCTCAAGTCAGGATTTGAGTATGATTTAGCACTCGAAATCATACTCAAGTCCCTTCCAATAGGGTCGTATTTCCAGTGCTTGAAATCATACTCAAATCCTGACTTGAGCATTGAGTAGAGTTCTAGAATACGACTCTGAGAGTGCTGGTGAAATTACAGGAACATGGGACTTATCAACTTTATGTCTCTGAGTGACGGGCGTAGTGGCAGTGCTTCTCAGATCTTTGCAGTTTGAAGCTCTGATGTCCACCGCACTAAACTTAAGTTCTTAAACAAATACTAAAATGGATGAGAAACGCTTAAAACATTAGTTTAGTTTATTTCCCTCAACATTACAAATTAAATACAAATACATGTCGTTTTATACTGCTCTTCGAAAAGTGAGCGTCAGTTTACAAAATAATGAAGAAATAATTATATAATAGTGAGTCATAAGTACACAATGGTGGACATATACAAAATCAATATAATTAATTGAACTAATAAATAATTGAATGAAACTAACAATGTCAAGTATATACAAGGATTCTTAATAACTAATAAATCTATATTACAGTATAATAATAAGGTGAATGTTAAATTCATTAATAAATATAATAATTTAATTATTTATTAAGTATTTTATTGTATGTATTACTCAGTAACAGAGTATACACTGTTACTGAGTAAAGGAACTTTTCCAATAAAAGGTTCTTCAGTCTGCACCTGAACGTTAAGAGTGTCTTGTGCATTGCAAGCATGGATTTAAGACGTTCTTATATTTTGTGCAAGTGGACATATGTGGCACTGTAACTGGTATGCGTAGGCGTGTCGCTCAACACCAGACGCACCACTTGTTCGTCTGATCGCTTGATATCGTAAAAAACTATTCGCTTGTCACCTTTTAACATTAACAACTTTATTGTTTCAGTTTGTTTATCCGCCACTTGAGAAGCGTAACATATTGAAGAATCCTCTTCACAAAATGACTCTAGGGGGCGTTCTAGCTGGAGTGGCTTTTATAGCATCGGGCACAGTTGAGATTTACTTGAAAGTAAGTAACAAAGGAATAACAATATTTTTCATCACACGTGCTCGTAAACAGTGTCTTGATGTGCAGTTGATGCAGGCAAAGTCGATCGTAATGTCCTAAATTATGCCCATCGACTTTTTCATTATTTTATCGCCCTATGGATTTGTTACGTCAAGATTAAGCAAAAAGTTTTTATGCTCGAAAAATCTGAACGCATATTTCGCATAACTATATTTTACTAAATCTATTTTGTGAATTAAAATTCTGCAGTATTTTTAGAATTTGGAAATTATTTATATTATATCTAATAAATACATTGTGGCTGCATGCACCTGTGCCTTTTGTAACATTTTAGTTTGAATTGTATTATCTATGGAAGAATAGCTACAATCTGTTAAAAAAAAAAACAAAAAAGTCGCCATTTGTACAATCCGTAAATATTGTGTTGTGTAGAGATATTTATTCATACAAGAAATAAATTATCATTGTATCTATTCCCTCGCAAATGAAAAACATTGTATGCAGACTGCCAGATTCGCAGAATGCGAGATTCGCAGAATACCAGATTCGAAAAATGCCAGATTTGCAGAATGCCAGATTCGCAGAATACCAGATTCGCAGAATGCCAGATTAGCGAAATGCCTGATTCGCAAAATGCCAAATGTCACTGCCAGGAACAGGTCTTCCTCCTCCTAACGCACGAACTAATGTTTAGTAGTGGTCGTCATTCGGCTAAATAATGATGATAATGAAGCGAGGTTCTGATGTTTTATTAATTTGTTAAAAACAAAATGCAGTTTCCTCTAACCACTAAATAACTACTAAGTATTAAGTGTGGTACACGCAGAACACCGTCATCGCACTAATAACCCTTTGGAAGGATTTCAGCATTGACTCAACAAAAAAATACCAAAAAACCCCCAATTTTTTAAATTTTTTGTTCAAAATTCAGAAGGAAGCACAGGAGGTAGGCCTGTTTCTGACAGTGACATCTGGCATTTTGGGCATCTGGTATTTTGCAAATCTGGCTATTTGCGAATCTGGCATTTTGCGAATCTCGCATTTTGCAAATCTGGCATTTTTCGAATATGGCATTTTGCGAATCTGACATTCTGCCTGTTTGGCATTTTGCGTTTCTGAAATAATGCGTCAAAACGTGAATAGTATATACCTAGTCCTAGAATCTCATTACTTTATCGAACTTAAAACCTGTGCACACGGCGTATTTTATACGCGCCGAAGACGCGAGTTATTTGCTGTAGCTGCGTTGTAGTCGCGCGTATGTGTCGCGCATTTTGATAAAAAATGAGAGTTTGAATTTTAGTTTTGTTTGTTAATTTCAGTTAGTTTTTTTAAACGAAGCAACGACATGAAATTCTATGTGTAAACTCCAGTGGAATATATAAGCTTCTTGCTTGGAACGCGATGTTTTGCGCGCGTTTGAATCGATTAACTACAACGCGCCTGCGACACGTATACGCGCAGAAGACGCGCGTATCAAACTCATAGAAATGAAAGTCATAGGTTCATGCCGTTACAGGGATTTAAACCATCGTCATAGTTGAAAAGCAATCATCGCGCGGATTGCTTAATAGTAATAGCTACCACCGTTCTTATAAATATTAACCCCCGAGGTAAAGAAGTATTGCTAAGTGAAGAAACTGTCGTAAGTTTCTCCCAGATGGCCCTGACGACAAAAAAGCCGTTTAAACCCAACTCTACGTCTGCTGACTCGGTCTGTAGTTCAGTTGGTAAGAGCGGTGGCCCCGGTGTGGCAACAGACGTTGGTTCCAGTCCAGTCAGATCGAAGAAATTTTTCTTTGTATTGTTCGTCGATCTTTGTATCGATAAATAAGTGCAAAATATTTACACTATTTAATTTGTAACGAACAAGTTTCCACTTTTAGAATGTTTGTTTGTTATGTAGGTACAGCAATAACTTTGCTAAGTAACAGTTACTGATTCGTGAGCCTGGATAAAGTTATACTGTTACATTAGCACATCTGAACACTATCGGCTAAACTTTTAACGCCTTTTAAACTTTAAATCGAAGAACCTTTTACAGCAAAGTAAATCTAACTTAAAACTAACAGTGATTAGTTTACAAAGTCTAGAACAAAGTATTCTTTGTGTGGATACTTTACGTAACCTCTTGATTAGGTGTCTAAATGAAAAAGTTATACAGTACAGCTTATACGTACGTTATACGTACTTGGATAACAAAAATCCATGATATATGATAGACCTGAGTCGATTGATCAATTCTGATAATACGGGTCGATCAAGACCCTTACGTAATGTGATCGGGTCGTGTCAAATGATTGAACTTGTAATATTTTTTTCAGACCACCTACCCACAATTACCTCAACCCGGTTATTCACAGCTTCGCATATTTAACGGCAACCCGTGTCCTATTTCCGTAAATGGAGACAACATCTCTTGCATAATACCATCTCTATCACGTTACATAAATAAACACGTACCAGTGAACGACGTAAGGAACATCAGTTTGAAAATTGAAGGCAGTTGTATTCAAAAGCGGGAGGAATACTTTCTCTTGAAAGAGAATGCTGCAATATCGTTTTTCGTTACTAAGACCAGGATGAAAAGGTACTTTGATGACGTGAACAAAAGCAAAGCCGGCTTTCCCATGGCTAGGTAAGTTTGTTAAATGTATAATCCCAAAGTTATAAACGTATATTTATTGAAAAAGCAAAAAAGAAATGAAATACGTTGAAAGCACAGAACGGTAAAAACAGAAGAAGTGTTTAGAGGGCTGGGTACGTGCGTCAACAGTATGCGCAGTGGTGAAATTACAGGCACCTGGGACTTGTCAACTTATGTCTCAGGGTGAGACACACAGTGGCAGTGCCCCTCGGATCTTTGCGATTTAAAGCTCTGAGTGGCACAGCAGCTGTTATGGATATGTGTGTATTTTACCACCAGTCACACGAGTTTTTCATCCCGTCACTTTATATTATAATAAAAAGTTCCACATACTTAAGCTCAGGGGGCCTACCATAACCTTTCTTAAAACAATCTTATTTCAATGTAAGCTTAAAGTAAGCTTATTATATTATTACTTATATTCGTACCATGTCAGACCTGTCAACCAAGTAATGTATTATTGCTAAAGTGATTGAAAGAACGAATGATTTCCCAATATTGTCAATTCCCTACTAAAAATAGGAAAGAAATAACGCTATATGAACTATATTATGTCATCTCTTTATTTTTTGATGCCCAGAATCGTCTTATCGTAATATAATGTTTACGTATTTAGTGTTATTTACATTCAGAGAATATTAACTGTTAAAAAAAGAAAAGTATGTAATAATAAAATCTATTAAAATTACGTTGTTTTCAATTATTTTTCCGCATTTTCATGAAGAAAAATAAATAAAACAAGCTGAGTCTTGATAGTCACGTTGTGAATTCGGAATTATAGTCTAGTGTGAACTGTTAGTGTCGCCAAGGAGCATATATATGTCGCTGTCATAATTTTACAAAATACACATCGCGTATTTTTATTTAACGAGAAATGATTTCCCATGTACTATTAAATAAAAAAATAAACAAAACATTGAGGAGATTTATGTAAATAAATAAGTTAAACTTAACTTTTAATCATTACAAATCAATATTCAAACAATAAGTTCGAAAACAACATTGTTTCCACTGCGTCCGAGTAACTATTTTAAGATTGCTAAATTTGACATAAGAACAATATTACTTTAATGTTAAAGTCGCGTTAGAACTGAGTGAATGAATAGTCACAAAGCTGCCAATAAAACATCATAGTTTTAACACTATAAAAAGCTTACTTTAAGCGTATACGAAAAGTCAGTGATTGTTTTAAGAGGTTGTGGTAGGCTCCCAGTCCGTCATTTTCGCATTCGTGTTAATTTATCTCACGCAAATCACCGAAAATCGTGGAAATTGCCTTATTTTGCTGCTTTGGAGTGCAATAATGATAGTCGCACCTATAATATAATCCATGGTGCTGTTTCATATCATCGTTAAGTCTTATTTTATTTTTGTGTGTTTTTTGTGGACTTTTTTTTTTGGTAAACGTAAATCTTCGTCGCCTCATAGTCTTTCAGCTATTGCCACTAGATGGCAGCACATTTAATGGAATTTCAATATTAAATAAAAACGTCGTAATTTGCTATAATAAATATTGAACTTTCATAGATATGCGAACAGGGTACCTAAATTTTAAATTACTTTAACCGACCAGAATTTGTTACATATTTTTAAATTCGAAACTACATTTCTAGATTATCAAGATTTTATATTGTTTAACGTAATGATTGTATGAGGTTTTGGCGACTGCAGTTCTGATACTAATCGAGACTTAAGGCACTTCCATTCTCTTTTTTCTTCATAAAAGTGTTGGAGCTGGATTAAATGGACAAAATTGGGTTCTAAGCTCGTCTATGAAATCCGCAAATAGAAATTTTATAAATAGTCGAGTTTGTTCGACTTGGTGGTTACTATAGTCCTTCCTAATATTGAATTAAGAAGACAGATTGTTTTTATTAAGGCGACATTGTATCGTATTTCCGCGTTGCGTAGATTATGAAGCATGTGAGGCGGACGAAATCTAAATATGACTATTTATTTAGATTTCTGTAGGTACGCCGCAAATTTCATTAAAAAAAATATTGTGTAGTCTATGGTAAAATCTACGAGTACAACGGGCCTCAAAATCAAATAACTAAACGGATTTTTATCTGCACTTTACGGCAAAACAGTATTGTGGTTGCGAAGGTTTCAAAGCGTGCCTGCATGCCTTTTAGAAAAAAGTACACCCTCTTACTGTAGAATGAGGCCACAGTCCCCTAACGTATAATATTTATTACAGAACACGAGAGATAAAATTTTATTGAAATATCTCTCTGATAACAATCGAATGAAATTGATTTTTCCGTAGATATGAAAAAAATATATGAAAATAATTGTGTGTTTTTTTTTTCAAACGAAGTTTAGTCAATTCGTTCGGGTCCCATACAATTACTAGTAGCGTCTGTTTTAATTACCAGTTAGAATAACAAGTCGGAAAACGTTGTGTTAACGTCGAAAAACAGATTTTCGACCAGGACGAAAAACGTCTATTTTGTGTCTCATTTCACCTTAAAATAAGTGTAAACTCTTCTAAACTTTTGTATCAACTGTATAAAATTGTTAAAAGATATTATTGTTGCATTGATAAGCATTATCCTGTTGGGGAAGAAGTGTTCTAGTAGCTATAGAGCTCCTTACCTTACCCATTTCTGCCCCCAAGTAGTAATGCAAGCACTACTGCGTTAAGGTTTTGAAGGGTTAAAGGTGCCGGTGAAATTACAGTGACATGGGACTTGTCAATTTATGTCTCAGGGTGACGGGCGCAGTGGCAGTCACAGGGTTTCCCTAATGCGGGGCTATGTTGAGTGTGTGCTTTATTATTATTATTATTATTGCCCTTCAGATCTTTGCAATTTAAAGCTCTGAGTGGCACTGCAACTGTTATGGACAGGCATGTCGTTTAATATCAGGTGCAATTGTCGGTCTTGTTACATACAATCTAAAAAAAATTTGCTACCTCTTGACTAAATAAACATAATGTCATTTTTTATCACATTTTCGGCTATAAAATAAATAATTAAATATAAAATCAAAGCATCTAAATAATTTTTTACACGTATATGCCATGAGCCCAACTAACACGTGTTCGTTCACGTAAAATACACATACTTGCCAAATCTCGGATTTCAACGTCAAAATTGTCGATACAATCTATGCATCGGTAATGATGAGAACCCGTGGGAGCACAACATTGTACGTTATACATTGTAAGATCACAATTCGACGTCAAATTAAATTTCATGACACGTGGCGGGTAGAAATGGAAACCAGTGAAACACAAATAGAAGGAATTTCAATAGGATATTAGCCGTACACGTAGTCACGAAAATATATGTACAGACGTTCATTTCTTCCATGTTTTTTCCAAGTTTTAAAAAAGTTTATCCTAAATTGTAGCTTAAGAAATCGCACCCGTATTGTACCTAATAAGGCTATATCTGCAAAACGACAACTTTTGAGGAGAGACGCTTAAAGATTTTACAAACGAAATTAGTCGATAACTTTTTTATGCTGAAATAGGACCGTTATAAAATTTCACAAATACCTAATTTGTTTCAAGTATGATTTTTCGTGATATAAGCACTTCTGACTTATATGGTTTATTTATATCAGGAGTACGAAATTTTAATTTATTAGGGACACTGTATTTTTTAAAGAATCTTCAAATGTCACTATTATATATAATGTATATTGTAATAAATTATTACCCGCGCCGATATCTAAAGTGTGCCACTGGTAATGCAACTTTTAGTACGGGTAATGATGCAGTTGTCGATAATAGGGAGCGGCTCTTGAATACAGATCCTTTCGAAGCCAGAGTACTAATTGTAGTGTATTGACATAATTTACCATAGACAATAGACAATATATGTCACACTGCGGCCCGTCGTTCCCGCTATGACGACACGAGACAGTGGCGTGAGCGTGTATCGCACGTGTACGTGAAGCAACAAACGTTGTTTTATTGAGCTAACCCATGGCTAACCCCCAACAAACGCCACACTATTTTTTATTGTCACAATCTTAGATTCAATTAGCATTATGTTTCTGGTGTTGACGGTAATTAAAGATATTTATTTCTTAATCGTGTCTATATTAAACGAATTGATTGTTAAGAGTTATTCCAATTTCAGGTTTCTAGTAACAAACACTACTTCATCATCGAATCTAACGCTATTCAACGAGAAGCGAAATGAGGTAGAAACAATATTAAGTACGGGAGTGTCATTATTACAAGAAGTGTTCGCCTCGAGGTATTCCCTGAAGGCCGGTGATGATGTTATTAGGAACGATATTGAATTAGAGAGTGGCGGAGTTTACACTATTATTATTAATGAATTTAATGGAACATACGTAAGTATACCTACTTGGTAAAGTTTATACTTTGTACTAAAATAAAAATAAGATTCGTGCTACGATCCTGACATGTCAGCTGACGTGATTCTTCGCAGCTTATGTCTAAACAAACATATCAAGTAGAATCTTAGTACTCGGAGTTATTTTTGTACGACCTTTCTGTAACTTGTAAGCCGAAGTCGCGGCAGAGGATAATGATAGGGAACAACGACCAATCACAAGGTAATGGATTTTGTGAAAATACTCGTAAATGAAATTTTTTCTGAATGAAAATAAATGAATTAGCAACATTTATTTTCAGAAATCTGAAGTGATAGTCGTAACTGAAGCAAACTCGGTGACTATGGCTCTTTTGCTGCCTCAGTTTATAATTATTGCTATAGGAGAGGTAAGTTAGTATTTTACATTTTTTTTAATAACGCCTACACTCAACGTTGCCCCGCACTAGGGAAACCCTGTGTCGCGGGTGCCATGGACACACACATAGACAACAACAAATTACACCCAAACTCACGAGAGAAATAAATGTAGGCCATACAAATATTTCCCCGGTGCGGGAGTCGAACCTGGGACCTCTGCGTGGCAGTCCGGCATGGTCACCGTTAGGCCATGGAGGCAGTTAATAAAAATATCCCTGTATAATGTTTTTTTGATACTCAGGATGAACCAATGTACCGGCTACACATTGGACCTTCTATGCGCTAGTAAGCTTGCACTAAGTAATGCACGTGTGTATTGTGTATAGTATTAAAGGAAAAAGAATCACTTGTACAAGTCGGGTCCAATGAATTTTGTTTATGATACTAAATGACCAGCCCATAACAGTTGCAGTGCCACTCAGAGCTTTAGGGCGCGTTCAAATTAGTCGCTGTTAGACGCGTTGCGAAAAAAGGCATGGGAAATTTTATGTCTAAAATTATTTTGACAAAATAAAGGTAACGAATGGATTCTAATACGTTCTGGTATACTTTTTAATTTTTTCTTCTTCCGTTTTAAAAAAATAAGTAAAAGTAATGGTTATTCGTCAGAATCCATCACGTAACTGAGTCGAAAGATAAAACATCACTAAAAATTTGGTTGCACTTCAGCAGCGCGACTGTCGCGCGGCGGCCAAACAAACTAGTGGAGTAATTACACATAAAAAGTAATTGAATATCAATTCAATAAAAATTTGAAATTTTAAAACTTTACAGTGAATAGCGACATCTCTAGCCGGGGCTATAAAGGTATCTAACCGGGTGACAAATCACTTTCATAGATTTCTCATAGGTGGCGCTACGGCTAAAAAGTCGTTACACGATAATAAGTACATAGAAAAATTCATGAGATCCGCTGGTTCGTTCCGTGGCTTAATTGGTATAGCGTCTGCCACGGTATGCTAGAAGACGTCGGTTTGAATCCGGTCGGATCGAAGGAATGTTTTCTAAGTGTTCGATCTTTGCATTAATAATTATAACAAACTAGTGGAGTAATTTCATAGAAAAAATAATTTAATATCAATTCAATAATTTAAAATATATTATTATTGAAATTACTCACATTTGAAAAATTATTGTTATGATCTTTGAAATCAGGTGTTATTCGCGGTAACGGGCAACGAGTTTGCCTTTAAAGAATCTCCAGAAAGCATGAAAGCCGTGATGACAGCAGTGTGGCTTATGACGGAGGCTGCCGGCAACGTCATTATCATCGTCATTACCAGGCTCTTTGCGAACTATGCACAGGTAACGATCATTCCAATTACGCTTAGCTGATAACTAATTCTTCCAAAGTAAGGTAATGTTTATTTTGTAGAATACAAAATTTTACTTTCTTTACTACTGCTGCAAGGAAGAACTTCGTTTATTTTTAGTAATTTGATGTAATTTCTGTCTGTTTGTTATTTATAAATTTTTCGCTGGGTCCAAGTTCTAACTTGTAATTTAAAACATATTTCACAGGACGAAAACCAAACAAAAGTCCGTATTATTAGCGATATACCTGAAATAATTTTGTACATAACAGTACCACATACCATCGCCTGTTGTTACAACAGGGTTACCCCGTAACATCGTAATTTATTTGTCATAACCGCAGAATGGTCGGTTCCATTTCATTAATGGAATTGAAAACCTAATTTAGCGTTGGTGTAACCAAAAGTATCATGGTGTACGCATTACAATCACGATAATTTAATTAATACAATAATTGGTTCATTATAATAGGTTAATATGTAATTGTTATTTAATTTTAATTTCAATTTTAAACTTATTCTCATTATATTAATAACCTGTTTCGTCATCCATATCACAAACTTTGAAAACAAATGTTTTCAATTAGTGCGATTTACCCGTAATGACATACGGAGTTGAGACTAAACGTGGACACTCACGATACGACTAGTCCATCAGTCAAAAGTTGCTCAGCGAGCTATGGAACGAGTCATGCTAGTAGTATCTCTGAAGGATAGGATTCGAAATGGTTATGCGACAGAGAACCAAGGTCGTCGACATAGCTGGTTGAATAAGCAAGTTGAAATGGCAGTGGGCTAACCATATCTACCGAAGAGCCTTATAACAATTTTTAGTAACAATAACAATAATAATAATAACGCACTCACTCAAATCCCCGTACTAAGGAAACCCTGTACCGCGGGTGCCATGGACATACACATGGACAACCACAAATTTTAATAACACCCAAAGTCCCGAGAGAAATGAATTTAGGCCATTCAACTATTTTTCTCGGCCCCGGAATCGAACCCGGTACCTCGCGTGGCAGTCCAGCATGGTTACCGTTCGGTCACGGAGGCAATTATCAATCAATTAATTTATTTGTCAGAATAATATACATTACGTTCTTATTTTAAATAAGCTAGAGTACTAAAAAACCGACCTCAAAAGTACGTGGAATTACATATAATTACCAAGTTTTATTGAAATAGGTTACCGGAAATTGCGCAAACCTGGATTCATCCCCTAGTAACTAGGGCCTAGTTCGTCATTATACGGGACTTGACACAGGAGATAATAAAAATCGGTTCTCACTACTCAAAGTATATTGAGAGAAAAACGCCTTGAATTGGTGAATAGCAAAATCAACCATTAAAATAATTGCTCCTAACATTATACATATATACCCTCTTTCCAACAAAAAAAGAATCATGAAAATAGGTTCACAAATACCGGAGTTATCGAGTAACATACATACAAAAAAACATAGTCGAATTGAGAACCTCCTCCTTTTTTTGAAGTCGGTTAATAAATTCAGCTTATTCTGTCTTAGTTGGCATGAAAATGTATAAGTTTTTCAATTATTTACTATAACATTTATTACTCATTCTCCAATACTGCACTATAAAATAAAATTTTGAATAATATAAATAAAAGATAAATCTTTTAAATTAAACTTTTATCCTTAATATTCAAAATATGTTTTACCAGTTCATTGTACAGGGTCAAGAGCACGTGAAGCTTGACGCTTAAGACTTAAATCCAATCTTCCAATCTTCCAATCCATCTATGCCGATTACGATAAAAACGGTCCAAAGTGCAGTGTTAAGCTTGATGTGTTTTTGATTGTATTCGTACTTATATAATTCACAAAAATATAAGCTACACTTCCTGAAACAAATATGATTATAATCTCAGTATAGAATACTAAAAAACCGACCTCAAAAGTCATTCATCCCCTAGTTTGTCACCCTTAGACTTGTAATATTTTTTTCGAATTTAAATGATACCACTTCTGAGGTACCCTCTTTCCAGTAAAGGAATTATTAAAATCGGTTCACAAACGCTGGAGTTATCGCGTAACGTACAGAAAAAAATTATTATAAGAACGATTATCTTTTCCGACGTTGACTGACATTATTTTTTTTTTATTTCCAGGAGACACAGTCATTCATCTACACTGGCCTAATGCTAACCTTCATACTGATATTCTATATATTATCACGAAGGTATCGGTTTAGCGACGACTATAAATGTAATCGTGGCGACCCGCCTGTGCACTATCTGCAGGTTAAACCGAGTGAAGACTGCTTATAATATATGTTAATAACAATAATTTGATATGTAGATTGTAAATAATTGTTAATATAATTTAAGATCAACGAGTGTTAAATCCTTTTTTAAAACAATTCTTAAGGTAATTTTTAATACAAAAATCGTACACTTAAAAAAATTTCATTTGATCCGACTGGATTAAAACCAGGCTGAGCTTAATGGTATGCTGAAGGCGCTGGTTTTAATCCAACCGGTACCCCTTTTCAGAACTCTTCGATATTTTAACCGAATCGTTCGCTTTCCGGGCCATTCAAAACGTTCGATTATTAGGACACGATATCGTTATCCAACAGCGTTTACGTAGTTAGTCGGTGAAATAGATTATAAGAAAAATTTTCAAGCATTTTCAAGACTTTAAAGGCCTAAAATAAAGGAATGCATTACCCCCCGTTCACAAGGCATTGAACTGCACCGTTTTTTGCAGTATAAATCCTAATCGAATGAACAGTGGCGCATACATTAGATATAGAACCGTTCACACGGTGTTTGTCCTGCAAAAAAACGCATACACATACAAACGCACATCATGCGCGTATCGAATACTGCAGTGCAATGCCGTGTGAACGGGGGTCAGTCTTGCATTAAAATAAATCAATAAAATTGAACAAAATCCAGATTTTGTTTAAAATAATAAGAGATTACCATATTACATTCTTGCTTTGTAAATAATAGGACGTTCGGTAACTTTAATTCGATAAGTGTTTTCTGGATAACGTTTGTGGATTTTGCCGGTCGAGAAGTTCCAGTAATCGTACGTGAGTGACGTCATTTCGGTTCGGTTTCGAATACGACAGTTTGACGTTCGATTCGGGTGTTGTGAATAAAAATGAAAATAAATCGTTCGACAACTGAATTATCGTAAGGTTCTGAATCGACCCCCAGATCGAAGGCATTTTCCTTGATAATAATAATCTTTATTTTCTCTGCAAAGCTTACACTGTACACATACATTAATTGATATATGTTTTAAAGCACAATATTTGCAGACACTGGTGCCTGAACTAGGTTGATCCTGTATTTCAGGGCGAGGTCAGGTTGATGTATCTTTGTGTTAATAATTATAACAGTGGAGTAAGAATGGGTAATATAGCTTTTTCTGAATATCGTATCGAAACTATATATCAATACTCGAAATCAGATTTCGAAACTATATATTTTTTGAAACTATATGTTATTGGATATAGTTTTACAAGAGCAATGCGAGCCAATGTTAGTATACAATATAATAAAAATGGTTTCGCGTTGATATCCACTCAGTGAATATCTGATACGCAGCAATATCGGTATGTAGTTAGGAAAATATATGATTTCGTGTTGGTATCCATTCGGTAATCGCTATAAAACACGCGATGCGGAGCAATATATAATATATAGTTTCTAAGATACACGATATCGGATATTCGATATTGCCACAATATATAGTTTCAATAATTATATACGATTTGTAACGCCCATTCTTACAGTGGAGTAATTTCACAAAAAAGAATTAAATATCAAGATGATAACACGTCGTGATATTATTCTATAATCCTTATATTACAATTGTTAAGGTATTTTTAATCTATCACGTGGATTAAGTTCCGTATATCATTCTGACCGACAGAATAAAAAAACACAGAAACCGCAGTAAGCTATCTGACGTAGGGGCGTATCATTACACAAAGATTGTTTTGTAGGAGTAGAGCTCCTTGCGAAAGAGTGACCTATTTCTGCCGCAAGGCAGTAATGTCACCATTACTGTGTTTCGATTTTGCAGGGTGCTGGTGAAATAACAGGCACATGGGACTTGTCAATTTAAGTCTTAGGGTGGTGGGCGCAGTGGCAGTGCCCCTCAGATCTTTGCGATTTAAAGCTCTTGCAATTATTATGAACAGGCGTGTAGCTTACCATTGATATTATAAAAAAAAAAAGAAAGTGAAATTGGCGGGTAACATAAACCGCCAGAACCGATGATCGGTGGTACAGAAGAGTGCTGGAGTAGAGACTGAGGACCGGTACGAGATACATGGACATACGATATAATCAAGGTAACCAGAAAAACCTGAATGCAAACAGCTAAGATCGGAGAGAATGGCGTGCAAATGAGGAGGCTTATACATAGCAGTGGGTGACTGAAGGCACAATAAGACATGTCTATGGTTTTTCATAGATTTTGCACATTACTACTGTACACTGCACATTGGTCGCTCACAGCCAATCGTCTCAGCCAATGAATAAAGATGTTTCTCCACAACTGAGGGTTCCTTCCACTTGAATTTTCTACGCGTCACTAGCAAAACATAAATTCTGTAATACATAATTTCTCAGCTTTTACTTAACGCTCTTTATCATATTCAATTACTAGGTCTACTTACTTTTTCTTTTACTTAAGGTAAAGTTAATTATGTAAGTACATATTTTAGTAAATTAGAAATGAGGTGGAAATGTAAGAAAGACAAAAGTACAAGACGTATTCTGACTAGACTAATAAATATATTAAACTAGACTAATAAATGTAGTCTCGTACTTATTTAACAATATTGTAAATACGCGGCAAAATGCTAAAGTTACCCACTTAATTTAAGCTCTTTCATTATCATCAGAAGGGAAAAACGAATTTTGCAAGTAACGAAAATTTGTAATATTTCAAAGAATAACCTAAGATTGAAAATTCACTTAACGATCTTAATTAGTTTTAATTATAAAGAAAGAAAATTTGTTCACTAAGTACACTTAGTGTTAATAAATTATCTACAAAGTTTTAAAGGTATCGACGCTGTTATACTTTGCCCTTTTACCTAAATTCTATTATAGAAATCATCAACATCGCCAACTTTTAAACATAAATGTTTGTTTATCTTATTTTTAATAAGCCTTTAACACTTCATATCTTCAAAATTGTTACAGAATTTACATACTGGAGACTCCGCTCTTTTTATTAGATGGTAGAACTTATTTAAGGGAAGGTGGCCAGTACGTAGTTTAAAGGCCAAGACCAATGCATTTCTAGAAAGTGTGCCGTCCACAAACCACGCGGTGGACGCACTTGAACAGTGTTGTACCAAATATCTTTCACTGCAATAATCTCACCATCGATCTTACTCCACATATCCGTATTTAGCTCACTTACAAATAGCATGATTTCTGCAGCAAGAGGTTTACATAACGGTTCCACGGATTCCGTGATAGCTTCTCTTGCTAATTTATCTACTATTTTTTTGCCTCCTAGTCCGATGTGTGATGGAATCCATTGCAGCATTATACACATATTCTTGGACAGTAAATTAACTAGTAATCTCAAAGCTTCATAAGCTGTAGGCATACCTTGGCCTCCCAAAACACATCGAACTAAATCTTATAGTGCACTTTTAGAATCTGTAAGAATAACGACTTTACTAGTATCTACAGAGTTAGCAAAGGAAAAAATAATTGAATATTAATTTCTATAAAAATTTAAATACAATGAACAGCGACATATCTAGTCAGGGTTGGTAACTGTAAAGGTATCTAACTGAGGACGAAATACGTAAGATTTCTCATAGATGGCGCTACGTCTAAAAAAGTCGTTGAAAAAACCAAATACAAGGACACTACAACAAACACAGAAAAATTCGTGAGGTCCGCTGGTTCGTTCCGTGGCTTAGTTGGCATAGCGTCTGGCACGGCAAGCTAGAAGACGTCGGTTCGAATCCGGCCAGATCGAAGGATTTTTTCTGAGTGTTCGATCATTGTGTTACTAATTATAACAAAACTAGAGTAGTAATTTCACAAAAAATAATTGAATAAAAATTTAAATTTCCAATTAATTACATTTTCTGTAACATATACACTAGGTTGATACAGTACAGAACGATCGCTTTTCATAAAAGTTTCATGGAGGTCAGGAAATGAAAAACTTTTGTTCTATGAAGCTGAGTACATAATTCCCATAACAGATGTTACAGATACATTCTTTGTTCTTTTAAAAGCATGGAAGTGAACTTAATAACTAAAATAACTTACATTTACTTCCAAGTTACGCTCCTGAATAGCTTTTTAAACGAGAAAAGGCGCCTTTGTTCCTGGCTGTTTTAATATTCAATTATTACCACAGGCGGTTGCAAGTGGTCACATCTTGGTTATTTGTGGAATGGAATGCACATCTAAAAATTGCATGGTTTGCGTCACAGTTTAGATAACAGCGGTTCGTTAATTTGTTACTGAACCAAACGGTTTTGAACGCATCAAAGCTACGAAACAATACAAGCGCTCTTTATTATGCAGAAAATTGCCGGGACAAACAAGAGACAACATATCGCGCCCTTGGTAATAAAGTTACGTCTGACAAATGACGACTTTTCAGGAGTGTGGTTGTGGCCCTAAAACAGGATTTGGATTGTGTATATTATTATTATGTGCAACTAAGTTCGTTATTAAAAAAATGTTTCCAAGGAATCCTTCGGAAATACTCGAATATGCATTTATAAAGATAAATAAAAAAGCATAGCATAACTTCAAATCGCACCCATTGGCGTAATAAGGCCACATCTGCAAAATGACACTTTTTCAGGAAGGGGATTATAGATTTTATGGACGAAATTAGTCGGTGACTTGTTAATATTTAAGTTAAATTTTAAACTAAAATTTGTAAATATTTAATTTAAACAGGAGAGTTACTCGTATATTAAACATTTAAATATGTGAATTTCATCCTCATTTCATTAGGTCATTAATGTTATTTTTGTAAACAGCCATATTTATTTACATTTACATTTTTACATTACATATTTATTTTGATATTAGTAAATAAATATGCTGGAAAAAAGAGGCAAAAACCAAAATAAAAAACAAAAAACGATGTTTGTGAAAAAAGAAACAGAAAGAAAATAAAAATAGAACAGGTTCGAAAATTAAATTGCGTAGTGGTCATTGGAGTTATCGGTTTATTCCTTGTAGTTCGTATTATTTTTATAATTTTCATGTGATAAAAGCATTTTTGACGTATGATCACATGTGGTTTTATTATACCAACGCGACGGCGCGATATACTTTTTTATCGCCAAATCTTTGAGTTCTGCGCATTTACTTTTTTTCTTATTTTGTATCTTCTATATGTTGTA